GATGATTTTGAATATTCACTTGAAAAGTTATCAAAGAAAAACATTTTTCATTTTGTAACTTCGAGGGCCCGTAACTTGGTTACGAAGACTTTTAGGAAAAAAAGTTATATGAAGTACTGGTGATATTTTGACCCCATCTATACATTCCCGAGAGGAAAAGAGGAAGTCCAGGGACACCCTGTATATCAGTAGCAGGCTCACGATATTGGAAATGTCGGGGACTAGACGTGAATTCTTGCGGACTTATTCGCCGGACCATGAGGTGGCGATAAGAGTAACAGTCTTGGAAACAATTTCAGACTTTCCGATTGGTAGGAACTTTTCTGAAAGAATGTTAATTACATCCCCTAACAGAGTTAAGGTGGAGAGTTTTTTTTGAAAAGATTCAAGGCAGTCGTGTGCGGAGATTTGGTGAATCCAGTAGAATTTCCTACAGTAGCTGGAAATTTTAGAGGAAATTTTGAGTGAATTGAAATAGTGAGATATTTCAAGTCACTGTTTAGAGAAGTGATACTTAGTGGGTTTTGGAGGTATTCGCGGGTTGATTCAATTTAGTTGATCTAGAGAACATTTTCAAATTCCTGATAAGAGTTGTTGAGGAAAAAGTGGCTTTTGTTTTTTCAATTGTTAATTCGATAATTCCAACGACTTTATTCATCAATAAAGTTGGTTTGTGAAACTGTGCTGATATTATTTCATTCCCTCAAACCCCTAAAAGATCACGCATTTAAGCCGTGATCGAATCCAGTCTCTGAGGATATAATTGGTGGCATAACCAAGCCATTGCTCTACGAAGATAGAAAGGTAAAAAATTCAACTGTTGACCCAGTCGCCCACTAATTCTCAATCCGTGTGATTTCAAATTTTTACTGATCTGGTGGCAACAACTCTCCCGCTACCAAACTAAATTGAAAAATAAACACCTTCGGCTAAACGATCCCATATACAGGGGGGTGATTTTTCTGATGCGAGTAAACTGAGTTGATTATTATATATCATTAGTAGTACATAGGGATCGCCAATTCAGACCCGATGTTCATTTATTACAATCACAAGGTTGAGTTAAATACTTTGAACAGGTTGTACAGTGAAACGGTTTTTCTCCAGTATAACTTATTTCGTGCACTCACAAATTACAAGTTTGTGTGAAAGACTCTGAACAGTAAAATGTTTTTCTCTGGTATGACTTCTTTCGTCAACTTTCAAATGACCAATTATCATGAATTATTCGAACGAATTTCATATTGAAAAGGTTTTCCTCCAATATAACTCCTTTCATGCACCCTTATATCACAAGGTTGAGTGAAATACTTTGAACGGGATATACAGTGAAATGGTTTTCTCCGGTAAGACTTCTTTCGTGAACTTTAAAATTACCAATTATCATGAAATCTTTCAAACGAATTTCATATTGGAAAACGTATTACAAAAACACTTTATTGTGAGATGTTTTCTAAATTTAGTGAAAATCTCACAATAAAGTGTTTTTGGAATACGTTAGTTATGGATTTTCATCAAGTATCGGCCGATTTCATCATATATCATATTGGAAAGGTTTACCTCCAATATAACTTCTTTCATGCACCCTCAAATCACAAGCTTGAGTGGAATACTTTGAACAGGTTCTACAGTGAAACGGGTTTTCTCCGGTATGAATTCTTTCGTGAACTTTAAAATTACCAATCATCATGAAATCTTTCGAACGAATATCATATTGAAAAGGTTTTTCTCCAATATAACTTCTTTCATGCACCCCAAAATCACAAAGTTGAGTGAAATACACGTTGAACAGGTTGTACAGTGAAACTGTTTTTCTCCAGTATGACATCTTTAGTTAACTTTAAAATTACCAACTATCATGAAATATTTCGAACGAATTTCACATTGAAAAGGTTTTTCTCCAATATAACTTCTTTCATGCACCCTTAAATCACGAGGTTGAGTGGAATACTTTGAACAGGTTGAATAGTGAAACGGTTTTTCTCCAGTATGACTTCTTTTGTGAACTTCAGAAAGCTCAGAGATGCCTCATGCTCACAGGCGAAATTGGCTGGGAGTGAAATGCATTTCAAAATTGTCATCTTACGTGAATCCTAATATTCATTCCGTTATGGAGTTGCAAGATACATATATTCAATATCCTACATATTGGCGGCTCAATTGTCTTCCCCCATCCTTACTGCATATATCAGACTAATACCCCACATCCCAGATATTATACTGTTTCCCAATGTTTCTTGTTACCGTTATAGTTTACATGGTCAAATATTCCCAATTCCCCACCACGAAATGAATCTCTCTAAAAAGAACGACAACCACCAGAACTCTCCCAGGACTCTCCCAGACTCTCCCAGAAACAATTTGCCAATGACACATATTTTTTCACCGATGGGTCTAAAGATGAACGCGGTAATGTTGGCATTGGAGTTTTTTCACACAACCTAAACCATTCTGGATGATTACCCTCTTTCTTTTCAATATGCTCAGCTGAAATAACAGCCATCCAAGAAGCAGTTCAATATATTGTTGACAACGATATCAAACACGCAGTTATCTTTAGCGACTCAAAAAGCACTCTGGCAAAAATTCCCCGGTCAACTATATCTGCAAACAGTGATTACCTTTCATTACGTACCAGACAATTGATATACAGAGCCGTCGCAAAAGGGAAACAGCATACATTTTGCATGGATCCCTAGTCATTCCAATATCAAGGGTAATGATATAGCCAATACTTTAGCCAATATTAAAAGAAATCATCTACTTTCTAATCATCCTCAAGTAGACTATAGAAAGTGTCAAGCATTATTGAAACATAATATTTGGATAGACTGGACCAATCAATATAGCGGGGACGGATAATTCAAAGCCAAACTTTACCTTTCCTCCGTACCACAACCTTACAAAACTCCATGGTTCAAGGATCTGGCTACTTGTTCTCGTAAAAAAATCGTCAATATGTGCAGAAATAGGAGCACTCAATCCATCAATAAAGCGCATCTCCACAAAATTAAGATAGTTGATGACGACCGCTGCGAATGTGGGGAAATACAGACTCTCCTACATATATTCTTTGTCTGTCCTGATAATTCTCATAATATACAAATACTTCATGCCTCTCTCAGCATCCCTCCTTCAACAATTCAGCCTCTTACCTTCCATGATATCGTTTTCAGACATATATCACCATCTAAAATACAAACCATATCCAAATTCTTGATTGCATCCAATATAAAGCTGTAGTGATTAAGATAGACTTAATACTTGTGCGCATGCAGTGCTTCGCCAATCATGACCTGATCGTAGTGTCCATACACGTAACCGTAGTGCATCTCCTCACATTAGTGCTTACACTCTATTGCAGTCGGACATTGCTTGTTAACTGACTTCAAATTATAGTTGAAATTTGTTTTAGCGCAAACCCTGGTGGGGTTTGGGTCCAACTCGGATCCACTTCAGTGTGGGCTCCACTTGTAGTAGCAACATGATCCTGCAACTCCTGGTTGGATAGCCCTGGCAGCTGAATCCATTAATGGAAAAAGAAGAAGAACCAATTATCATGGCATCTTTAGAACGAATTTCATATTGAAAAGATTTTTCTCCAATATAACTCTCCAATAACTTGAAAAATAAATACTCGAAATGCGAGAAAAGAGATTACCAAGGGAAGAGGAAGAAATAGTGCGGACTCGGTGCAGGCAATTTATAGTGAGTTTAATTGAATAGGATTCCAGAAATGTGGAATTAATGAAAAAAATTTTGCGAATAAGTGTCAAGAAAGCACTTATTCATAACAAAGAAGATCTGATAGACATTATGACTCAATTAAATAAAAGTTCTGAATTCATTGCGAAAGTAGACGATCAATGGCGACAAATTCATTTATTGGAATGGCAAGAAACCAAAAATACAAAAATATTTTGGTATGAAGTCCTGCATTTCTAAGATGTACAAGGGGTTTCAAGATTTCACGAATTGGCGACTTATGTGATCACTCTTTTAATATTGCCGCATTCCAACGCCGAAGTGTAGAGACTGTTTAGCAGTATGCATATAATAAAAAACAAGCAGAGAAACAGGATGGGGTTTAATCTTTCAACTGCTATATTAAAAGTACCCGGCGGAATGAAGATAGTGAGAAAATGTTGCAACGACTATGAAATCCCAAACACTATTGTGAAATTAATTGGCACCAAAGAGTGGTACCAATCGGAGACTAACGAAGATGGTACGGAAGAAAACGACTTATCTGAAGATGACTTGATAATTTAATTTCATATTTTTTTTAAATAATATGTAATTTTAATGTTATTTCTCCAAAAATTTGCTAAAAATAAAGTTGGTGGAAAATTTAGTGATTTTTTAAAATGATGCGATTTTTGTTAGTGGTTTTAGAGGTCGCTTCTGGTGGGTAGCTTGATACTTTGTTGGCAACACTGATAACCATAAGCATAGACGAGAAGAAGAAAGTGGCATTGTGGTTTTACATGTACACGTGTGTTAGTGTGTTGTTTTATCTGTTGAATATTCAAATAATTTAGTGTGTAGTGTGAAAGTAGAAAGTTTTACATGTCATGTGAAACTTCGGAATATTTTTAACTTTATTTATAAAATAGTTTTATCGTCTCTGACATGTGCTGTTTAGTAAACACCTATTTGAACACCGCTAACCTCACTAACAGTAAGTTATGCCTATTTTAATGTTAATATTTTGTTTATCTCATATATAATAATTTGTAGCCATTCCCTTACCCATGTCATATAATAGTTTTGTTCTTGACTGGGGCCAGCAAAGACTACCGTTCAAATAATTTGTACATGTATTTTAATACTTTTAAACTATTTATTTGTTAACATTCAAATTGTTTTTTAACTTATGTACGCACGATCTAGTAAAAAATCAATGAAAAATTCTATATTTGTATATTTCATATTTGATGCTGCAACATTGCCTAGCCTATAAGATTGCTATGACAAAACATCCAAATTTAAAATTCAGTTGAAATTTTCAAAATTATCACTACATAATAGCGAATCCTGACTCATTGAATGAATAACTTAATCCTGAAGAAGCTATTATATAGTGAAACATGTTGTGTTTTTGCAAAACTGTTTGGTGAAAATCTCACAATAAAGTGATTCTTGAATATGATAACTTCATAATACCAGCACCTTTTCACTGAATTTTGCTTTTCATTCCAGATCAGAAACATGGACAAATGTATGTTTAGGCCGATAAGAAGTCCTGGCTTTCCAGATGTGTCAGCTACTGATATGGGTTATGGATGAATTTTAGTGAACACATCCAGGAACACTCGCTGAATGCAGGTTGCAGCTGTCAGTTACATACCCATAAGAATAGCGGTTGTTCGGAGTACATTGAGGAATAGACGGTAAGATTCCAAAATTTTTCTTCGTGATTGTACTCAATACTTTTAGATAATACCAATTTGAAAGACACATTCAAAGACAGATTATTGAACAATCATCATCTCATCATCTCTCAGTTGTAAACATGTACACATACATAAGTATGTATAGCAAGCGCTAAACGTGATGGCCAGGAATTGCCCAGGTATAGACTCTCCCAACTAAATTACTATTGGATTCCAATTAGCCACTTGCTGGCTAGTGTGTCGTATCTATAATTAGTTTTAATTAGGGTAGCAAATGGATCACGACTGCTTTGTAATTTATTTTCATATTTTACTTAGTATAACGATAAAATGATAGAATCTCAGTTTATAGGACTCCTGACAGTAACTTGAACATTTTTCTGGACAAATTAGAATTGCTACTTCATGATGTCTATAAGAAGGATGATTACTATATTATTTGTGGAGATGTAAACTTGAATTTTCTTGTTGATAATGCAAAAAATCACTTGTTAATAAACCTATTAGGGGAGTTTAATATAAGACATCATATTCAGGAGCCTACGAGAATCACTAGTAGAAGCAATACATGTATAGACAATATTTTTTCGAACATTGAGGTCAAAAATGTTGATGTACATAGTCTTTTCTATCTGACCATACTTATCAAATATGTATTTTCTACGTAATAAATTCTGAGATCCAAAATACTGAATACAAATATAATAGATCTTACAGTGAATCAAATATTGAAACTTTCTTAACTTATATATCTCGTGAAAGTTGGGCTGAAGTTTACACAGCAAATACCTTTGACGAAAGATTCTCTTCATTTTATGATACATTTTTATATCATTACAATTGTGCATTTCCAATCAGAAAAACAAAAACAAAACCAACCAAAAAACGGTGGTACACCCCAGAAATTAAAGTAATGCATGACCAACTGTGTGAAATGGAAAGACAAAAAAAGAACTCAAACTGTCCCCAAGATATCGAAAGATATAAAACATGTAAAAAAGCATACACCAGCCATGTGAAACAATTTCAGAAACATAAACACGATGTACGATTACTTAAATCAAACAACAGAATGAGGGAAAGTTGGAAAATTATTAAAGAAAATAAGAATAATAAGGTGAACCCTTCTATACGTGTAAAAAACGACAATGGTGAACTGATAACAGATCCACTGGAAAAAAGCAACTATATCAATGATTATTTTATAGATTCCTTTCAAAATTGTCCTAAACCAAATCTTGATCAACATTTCGATAAATTTCATAAAAGTTTTTTTCTAACTCCTGTAACACCTGAAGAAGTTCAGGAAATCATCTCAAAAACAACATCTGAACCTGCAGCAGGAATGGATGGCATAAATGGTAAGGTCCTGAAGGCTGCTAGTAAACTTATTGCCCAGCCATTAGGTGAACTAATAAATGATTCATTCACGTCTGGAATATTTCCTACCATCAAAGAGTCTAAATGCATTCCAGTTTATAAGAACAAAGGTTCTATAAACGAAATGAAAAATTATAGATCTATCTGCATAAAAAATCAAATTGCAAAAGTTTTCGAGACATCATACTCCACACGATTGACAGCTTATTTGGAGAACTTCCAACTAATGCCATCCATTCAGAACGGATTTCGAAAAAATAAATCAACTAATACTGCAATTTATGACTGTTTGGAATTCATTTATAGAGCATTAAATGAAATAAAAAATGTCGTTGGTCTATTCTAAGATCTAAGCCTGGCATTTGATACTATAGACCATAACTTATTAAGACTCAAACTAGAAGCTATAGGAGTTCAAGGTGTTGCTCTAAACTGGGCAACTTCTTACTTGGACAATCGAAAACAAACTGTTGTACTAGATTCCATAAAATCAAAGACAAGACAACGAGCGACATAAAGAACACCTGTGTTGCTGCAGTAAAAATGGACTAGCACTAAACACCGCTAAGATCTTTCATATTCGATTCTTACCAAAAAATATGAATCCTGATAATGATCTCTACTTAACAGTCAATGGAAAATCGATAGAAAGCAAAGAGAGTATGAAGTTCTTAGGTGTTGTGCTTGATAGGAAACTTTCATGGGAAAACCATATCACCACTTTATGTTCAAAACTCGGCACAATCACATACATTATTAGGAATCTGAGGGATACAGTATCAGCTGATGTACTGAGAATTCCTTATTTCGGACTGGCACAGTCAGCTATGCAATATGGAATAATATTTTGGGGATCCTCAACTCACATACTAGGGGCTTTTCGTTCTCAGAAAAAAATCATCAGAGCTATGAATAAAACTCACCCTTCAGAATCTTGTAAGCTACTATTCCGAAATTCTAAAATACTAACGTTACCTTGTCTCTACATCTTGAACTTGATATTGTTTATAAAGGACAATGAAAATACGTTTCTGAAAAATGATCAAATATATGCACATGATACAAGGAATAAGGAAAATATTCATCTGTCCTTTTCTAGGCTTCTCATTGGTCAAAATTCCCCAAAATATGTTGGTGTAAAATGTTTCAATAAGATGAAAAATCTAATAGATATGAGTGGTAGCAAGTCAGCAGTTAGGACTAGAATATCAACATATCTCAGCGATAAAGCTTTCTATAGCGTAGAAGAGTTTCTGGGCTTCTGATTATATTTTAAAATTATAATTGTACAAACCTCAACTGAATTCGTTGTGTAATTGTTATAATTGTACATTCTTATTATACTCTTTTTTATGCAGTTGTACCATATTCCCACTTTAAAATCCCTTTGTCCATCCCTATTTTATATATATATATATATATATGTCCCACAAAAATGTTTCATACAAAAGTTTTAGGAGTTCATGAGACCTATATTTTGATATAATTTTTAAATATACAGGGTGTTTGGTGTAGGTGCTACAGACCAAAATTCCATTTTTTAAAATAGAACGCCCTGTATATCATTACATATTCAGATGCTACGTTAAATTCTGATATCATTTCATGTTTAGTTTTTGAAATTCGGTTACGGCGTTGTTGAGTTATTGCACTTTTCCTTTAATATAATGTTTCAAAAAAACTTATTTACTCGTACACGAATCCAGTCTATATCTTTTATTAAATTGAACTAGACTACTACTGAATACAAACCATTATTCTCACCTCTACGATACGATATCGATATCAGTTGAATATAATATTGAAATTCTTGAGAATGTGACTAACTTAAGGGTGAATTGCTTTATATTGCACAATTTCATCAAGTAGCTTATGCTTGTTTATGCCATAGTAACAAATGTTGTTGAATTGTATCTACTTGTCAGTTCAATTCAGTGATTCTTTGCAAAACAGTAACTGTGTTCTTTGTGCGAAAACTCCAGTATGCCTTTCGCGTTTAGTCCAAGTGATTGCATTGATATGTAGTAGTTTTCACCATACAATGTGTATTCTTTTGTGATGAATAAAATGATTCTGAACGGATGCTCATAGGATTTATAAACAAAACAGAACTCCTCCAAAACTATGAAATATTTAGTTATTTAAGATCACAATGCAAAATTATATCTAGAGAATGCTATTTACAATACATTAATTCGGTTGAAACATCTGTTAAAAGTAATGTTATGAGCGTCTGGGATTTTGTCAATAACAATATGAATCTCGGCAAATCTTTCGCCTCACTGTTCGCCAAGCACCTTTCATCAGTTTACACAACTCAATCTAAATCTTAATTTGAATGTTACTGAATTTGGATCGAAACTTAACGTCTCCTCTTACCACATTTCAATTTCAACCATTTACGAGAAATTATCTAATCTTGTCATAAAAAAAGGTCCAGGTCCACCCATTTTACTCAGAAATTGCAGCTACGTTATGCTTCACCCTCTCTTCTATATTTTCAATAAATCTATCCAGTCAGGTGTGTTTTCAGATTATTGGAAAAATCTTATGTCACCCCAATATACAAATCGGTTACTAAGTCAGATGTTAACAATTACCGACCGATATCTATTCTTAGTACAATTCCCAAGATATTTGAAAACATTCTGGCAGATTACCTTACCTATGATTGCTCTGTCATTATAACTGAACAACAAAATGGATTTTGTGGTGGGAAATCAACTGAATTAAACCTAGTTACCTATTCCCACTTTCTGTTGGTATCAGAACGGCACCCAAATTGATTCTGTGTACACTGACTTCTCTAAATCGTTTGACAGGGTCAACAATAATCTTTTACTCCAAAAGCTTAACAGATTTGGTATAGGTGGGGTACCACTGGAATGGATCAGTAGCTATCTTATGAATAGGACTCAAATGGTTAGAGCAAATTATCACTACTCCAGATTATTCGAAGTAACCTCTGATATCTCAGAGGTCACACCTCGGTCCCTTATTCAGTTTATTCATTAACATTATTTATTGCTATTAATGCACTTTATTGGTCACTGGTCTGTCCACACCTGGAGTATTGTTCTTCTGCCTGGTCTCCTCATTGTGTAACTTATATCAAAAACATCGAAAATGTACAACACAACTTCCTCAGATACATAGCATATAAATCAGGTTTGTTTGTTGCAATCTCTGAGCATGTCCTCCTAAGAGGAAACAGAGAGATATGAAACTACTTTTCAATATTAGTAACGGCAAATGCAGTTGTGTGGAACTCCTCAAAAAATTTATCTACATGTTGAAAACTGCTCAACTCGACAGCAACAAACATTTTATGTAATCATCTTTCCATAAACTCTCGAATTACTTGTTATAATTGCATCATTCAACCACATTTTGATTATTGCAGCTCATTATTGTACTTACTCAATTTGATTGAAAAATCTCAATTACAAAAAATGCAAAATAGAGGGATGGGGGTAATTCTGGGATGTTATAAATTAATAACTATAGCTTCGATGCTGGATGCACTGAAATGGTTACTAGTTGCAAGCAAGCATATGGTTTTATATGACTATGATGAGTGTCATTTCTTTTCGAGTTTGAAAGCCGTGGGTTTTTGGAATTTGTTCGTTATTCTCGAATTCCTTAAAATGGGGTTCCATATTTGCTTGAGGTACACCGCTTCTTCTTTTTGGTTGAAATTTTCCGTGTGTTTGTGGATCTCTATTGCCTCCCGTACCAGTCGGCTATGATATCCCTGGTTAGGGGCAATTAGTTCTGTGTTTTTGAACAAAATTCTGTGGTCTCCTTCACTAAGTGCGTGTTCTGCCACACCTGACTTGTCCGTTTGGCCTAGTCTGCAGTTCCTTTTATGCTCTTTTAGTCTTGTTTCCATGGATCGTTTGGTTCTTCCGATATATACCTTTCCTAGTTCTAGTGCAGGAACGAGTACAGGTACAAATATAACTGATTATCTGACACGGCATAAATACGCTTTACGAAGCCGAAAAGGTAGTCATCGGACAGCAAGCCATGATGATTAAACATCTGAAGAAGCTAGCCACTCGCGCCAGCGAAACGTCAGGAAGAAATTCCAAAAATCCACGGCTTTCAAACTCGAAAAGAAATGGCACTGAAAATATATGGCGAATGTATGGCGTGCGAGTAGACACCGCCAAAAATATTGCCTAACATAAATACAAATTTGTTTAATATAATCGCAAATCAATTCTGTCCTCATATAGAAAAGGATTTAGAGTCATTAAGGATTACAGAAAAGTGAAAATTTACTAGCTTTTTTGAATATAAACAGCTGGAATAACCGAAAATAAATAGTGAGGTTAAGTGATGGCTTCCATGTGCTGTAAATGCAATAATGAAATAAATTTCGACAATGAAATCTACAAAACAGCCTGTGACTCCTGTGGTGGACACCTCCATGAAAAATGCTCAGGACTTTCAGCTACAGAACTGCGTTGTATACCACAAAAAGCAAGGAATTTAATGGTGCTCTGTGATAAATGCCGCTCTTGCTTGAAATCAATGCCCCGATTGATTAGAATGATCAACGAAATGCAATGTTAGATAGCAGATTTATGTGAGGAAATCAAGGAAGCAAAAGAAGTAAAATTTCACAAGGGTGATGATTAGGAAATCCTAAGAGAAGTTGAAGATCGTATAAATCGTTCGAAAAATGTGATATTTTATAATGTTCCAGAATCTATTGAAAATAATATTAATAAGAGAATCGAGGATGATACAACGAGGATAAAGGAGATACTGAACAAGTGTCAGTTAGAGTACAGCACCATATACAGCACTGTAAAAATGGTTCAACTTGGGAAAAACGCTACACATGGTAAACCTCGTCCACTCAAGGTGGTATTTCAAGATTCTGAGACAGCGAAACAAATATTAAAAAATAGGAATCGAATTAACATTAATGGAATCAAGATTGCTAATGATTTAACCATTAAACAGAGAGATCATCTGAAGTCGTTGAGATCGGAGCTAACAGAAAGGCGCAGAGTAATGGTGAGAATAACTTAACGATAAAATATATAAAAAGTGTACCCAGAATTGTTGAAGTACAATAAAAAAACGAATAGACCCACAAAATATCCTAATATATTATCAAAATGCTGGTGGAATTCGAACAGAACTTAACGAACTGCATATTAATACACTGTGTTGTGAATACAACATCATATTACTAACAGAATCATGGATAAATAATGATTTTTCTGATTCTGAACTTGGGATGTTTAATTATAATATGTATAGATCTGATAGATCAGTGAATTCAAACAAAAGTAGAGGTGGTGGAGTGCTAATTGCAATAACAAAAAGTTTTCAGTCGAGACTTTTGAAATATTCTGACGATACCAGGTACGAAGAACTGTTTGTCGAACTCAGAAGTGAACAAGACAAATATATTATTCGCTGTGTTCATATACCTCCAAACTACCACACAAATATTTATTAAGCACATTGTCTGTTTGTGGAAGATCTTTGTCATAAACATCTTGATCATAAGTTCATCATTTGTGGTGACTATAACTTACCTGAAACCTCCTGGGATAATGATGATCTAGGCCTGAAATCAACTTTCCCTGTGAATTCTAATGAAAACATTCTTGCAAATGACTTTGGTTTGTTACAGTTTCACCAAGTGAATCATATAGTGAATAGTAGAGGTACTTATTTAGACTTAGTTTTCTCTCATTTATATGATGTGGAAGTCATACCTGCAGCGGACTTACTTTTCCAAAACAGCATTCATCATACTGCAGTATCATTTTGTATCAAAACTGGTAACAAGCCAATCCCATTGAGTCACTATTACTATGATTTTAAAAATGCAAATTTTGTAGGCATTAATGATTATCTTTCTACATTTAACTGGGTTGATATCCTTGAAAATTTGTTTGTCGGTACAGCTACTTACATATTTTATGAAATCGTACATGAAGCAATTGATATATTTGTTCCATTAAAATTATACAAACCTTCAAATTTCCCTAAGCGGTTCTCATCTGAATTGAAGCAAATGATCTCTGAGAAGAAACACATTCACAAATAATTCAAAATTCACAACCGCAATGAGGATTACATGTTGTTTACTCATTTAAGATCTCAATGTAAATATCTCACAAAAGTCTGCTATGAAGCTTACTTAAATAATATCGAGTCAAACCTAAATAATGATCTGAAAAATTTTTTGAAAATTAATAATAATAAATTCATTCCACAGAAACATACAGAAAATAGTAGTGAAAATAATAGTAGCATATATGCTTAGTTTAACTGTATTGATAACTGAAATTTGTGAGTTCTGAGTCTTATCTTTTTTTCCAGATAGTCTGGCTCTATGATGAAGACGGCTGAAACGCTACCAAAGCCATTACAAGCGCAAGACTCGAGTAAACAAAGAGAAAAACAACGAAGTTTGTGAAATAGTGTGGAACAGTAGCGTTGGTTCTGTTGTAATTCATTTTTACAAGCACTCCGCTCAATTTACGATCAAATAATTTTGGTTGAATGATCTTTCATTAGTTGATATTATGTAATTCGCATGTACTTTCAACCATGTTACATAAAAACCATAACCACCAAAACGACAATAACCAATCAGGGCTAACATTAGCTTTTAATGTTTTCATTCACAAAATTATTTTTGATATTTCATGTTCACATTTTTACAAAGGTAATATAGTTGGGAAGTGTTTAGATTTTCATTTTACCAGCCTAACATTGGAGAAAAATACTTTTTTACAGGTGTATTCGAGGAAACAGAAATATTTGTTTTATTTTTACAGGAATATTTGTTTTATTCTTACAGGAATATTGTTATTGTTGTTTTTTATTCTCTTTCAGGAAAATCTTGAACAATTTTAATCAATGGTGTCTCTTTAATTGTTTATGCAGTTGATTTTCAGTATCTCTTGATAGCAAATTTCTTAAAATGAATTACATGTACTTTCTGACATTGTACAGATTTTTTATGAAAAATTACCACAAGAGAACAAACATAGAAGTCAGAGCTGTAATTTTTTGTGGAACTGGGATTTCAATTATTTGTTACTTCAGTATCTACTCCAATATTTACTATGTAGTTTGGACTGGATGTCAATCTCAAGTTTAGTCATCTCGTCGAAGGCGCTGCTGTTTCTAGAGGAAAATACCAAGGTATTGGAAGTTTTGAAATCGGTTTATTATTGCTCGTCTTTGGTGTGATTTTTAAAATAGTTCGGATATAGGAAAAATTCCGATGGATAAAATTTTTTCATTATTTTTTGAATGAAGTGGAAGTCTTGGTTGAATTATTTTCTTGCTGTATGTTTTGTTGTTTTGATTCACAAAAAGTTTTGCGTTCAAGCATGTTCATATTCCCAGAATTTTTGTTAAAGGTGCTTTCTTTCTTGAATGTTTATGCAGAGTTGATTTTAATTATCTCTTGAACCTCAAATTACAGTTGATTTGGATTATACTTAGTAATCTTCAATCTCCATTCTAAGGTGTTTCTCTTGGAAGGTGAGAAATTGATTCTTCTGAAATAGTTTGTTATATTTGTTATATTTTTTTCACAATCAAATAATATTGGTCGAATGATCTTTTACTACTTGTTATTATGTACTTTACATGTATTTTGAATCATGTTAAATAAAACTATAACCGTAAAAAAGACAAAAACTAATCAGGGCTAAAATTAGCTTTTGGTGTTTTCATTCACAAAATTATATTCGATATTTCATATTCACATTTTGACGAAGGTAATATAGCTAGTGTTTTGATTTTCATTTTACCAGCCCCACATTGGAGAAAAATACTGTGTATTGGAGGAAACAGGAATAATCGTTTATTTTTACAGAAATATTGTTTTATTGTTGTTTTTTAATCTCTTTCAGGAAAATCTTGAACAATTTTAATCAATGGTGTTGTCTTTTTTAAATTGTTTATGCAGTTGATTTTCAGTATTTCTTGAACCTCAAATTACAGTTGCATTTCTTTTGGAAGGTGAGAAATTTATGCTTCTGAAATAGTTTGGAAGATATGAAATTGTATATTTTTTCAATCAAATAATATTGGTCGAATGATCTTTTATAACTTGTTATTATGTACTTTACAAGCAATTTGAACTTTCTTACAGGGGTATTCCAGGAAACGGGAATATTTGTTTTATTTTTACAGGAATATTGTTTTATTGTTGTATTTTATTCTCTTTCAGGAAAATCTTGAACAATTTTAATCAGTGGTGTTGCGTTTCTTGAATCGTTTATGCGGTCCATTTTCAGTGTCTCTTGATAGCAAATTTCTGAAAATGAGTTACATGTACTTTCCGACAACACATTTTTTTAAATGAAAAACTACCACAAGAGAGACACTATATGGAAGACAGAGCTGTAATTATTTGTTGAACTGGGATTTCGATTATTTGTTACTTCAGTATTTACTCCAATATTTACTATGTAGTTAGGACTGGATGTCAATCTCAAGCCTAGTCAGCTCGTCAAAAGCGTTGCTCTTTGTAGGGAAAAATATCAAGGTATTGGAAGTTTTGAAATCGATTTATTATTGCTCCTCTTTGGAGGTGAGATCTACGAAATAGTTCGGACATAGGAAAAATCTGATGTATAAAATTCTTTCATTATTTTTTTAACCCCTAATTACTAACGTACTGAAGCTGTCACGTTGTCACTAACGTACTGAAGCTGTCACGTTGTCACTAACCATACGTCTCACAGACGGCCATATATTAAATGTGCGTATTTTTTTTATTTCGCAACTTTTTTTTCTGAACTATTCAGATATGTTCTTCATATATTTGGCGAACTAAACATGTAGTTCAGAAAATGAATAAAAATATAATTTCAAGTAAAGATCAACATTTCGTAGAAGAGTTTCAAATTTTCCGCATTTTGACATGATCTATTGAACTGGTGAAAAAAAAACGAAATAATACAACTATCGATGAGTTTATTATTTTTCTGGATACATTAAGAGATGAACTGAAACACAGCAGAAAACTGAGTCAAAAACATAAAAAATAAAAAAATTGACAATGCCTAGATATTATGAAGTTGACGCACAATCTGGGCACTTTCTTTCACAGATTTTTCAGAATAACTATTATATAAAATAAACGAATTGACAGAGCTTATATCGAATAGTCTATAAAATATAGTGAGTGGCCATCGACGGCTCCTACGACTGCAGGAAAATTTCGAACATTTTTCATCAATTGCGTCTACTTCACCTTTTGTTGAATTGTACTCGAGAATTATATCAGGCTTTCCTGACTCAGGATCTTCACTTTTATGATGATGGGAAGATGACACTAAGAGAACAGCCTTATTTTTTTTTGTACGTACGAAACTAGTGTTATGTCTGGTGAAACCATACAATGAAGATCCAACCAACCTATTCCTATTGGGTAGAAATTGTGATGGAATTTCCTTCTTATTCTTTCTGATAGTGCCGATACATGTTAGCCCTCTTTGTTTCAAAATGTTCACAAGTTCAATAGTTGTGAACCAGTTATCAAATGTCACATTTCGGTTTGTATTATATATTGGTTGTGTTAGGCGAAGAACACTTTGTGCTGGTTTGCTACATTTTTTGTCTTCATCCGGCAAGTTTCTTCCATCTGAATATTTACCTGTATAGATATATCCATTATAGAAATATCCAGTTCGTGCATCTGTGCAACACATAATTTTCAACCCATATTTGTCAGGTTTGTTTGGGATGTACATTTTGAACTTACACCTCGCTCTGAAACTAACCAGCATTTCGTTCACACAAGCACACTCCCCAATCGTGTAGCAATCCTGACAGTTCTGGACAAAAAGATCAAATATTTGGGAAATTGCAGCTGCAGGATCACCTAAGCTTCTCATCATTCTGTCATCAGGATTATCAAATCTGAGACAAGTGATCAAAAAAGCAAATCTCTCTTTACTCATAATACACCTAATTATTTCTCGACCAGTTCCATCGGTAGCAAATAACGTATTTATACATTCATTATTCGATTTGAATGCGGCCGTGTATGAAAGAAGCCTAAAAAATGCGTACAATTCTATTTTATCGAGATTCTTCAGAGTTGCAGAATTTTCGGGTCTGTACCGGCCTCGTTCTGCTTCAATTTTATGGTTGGCCCATTGAAGTATGATACTACAGATTTTTTCAGTGAACAACATTTCCCAAACTTCAAGAGGGCTAGGTTTTTTTCCGAGTGCTTTAGCCGAAGGACGTAGTCCCGGCAAGTGAATAATTATATTTTCTTGAAAGCGGCATCCCCTATTGGAAACAGTAGGCTCACTGGACCATTTGAATCTATTTTTCCCATAATAGTACTTCGAGATTGAATTTTTTTCACATTCCAGTATCTCATCAGTATCCTCGTCATCGGTTTCATGAGTCTCAGCTGAAAAAATTATGAATGATAAGCATATACTATAACAAATTTGACTAAAAACTATTCACCATTTTCTTCTTCAGAATCCGTATTGCGATCACTTTCAATATGGGTATTTTCAGTACATTCATCTTGAATATCACTAATGTCACTTTCACATTCATCTAACCATTGCAATAACTGTTCTTCGAAGTTTTTATCTGAGAATCCATCGTGCTTTTTTATTGTTACGTTTACACTAACTATACTAAAACCAGAGACAACCAACGAGACGAGTAACTTAATGATAAAATTTTGATCGGTGAAAAC